TTTCCATAGTGGTTGTACTAGTTTGCATTCCCACCAGCAGTGCAGCCTGCACATTCTTAATCAGGTCAGTCTGGTTGCTGTTCTCACCCATGGATGGCCTTCCCAACTGAGGGGCTTGGGTCTCCAGCAGAGGTTGATGGGGCACACATAAGGCTTCAGGACAGAGAGATGTCTGAATGCCTGGCCCTCAGGCTGAGGGATGCTGCTGGTTCTCAGACTTTTCTGGGCTTTACTTTATGTGGGAAATATTGCTGGTCATCACAGCCCTGCCTGCTGGTGGGGATGGGGCCAGATGGGATGACCCACGGAGCGCTCTGGGGACCCTCCGTTCTCCAGATGCTGGTTCCCCTTAGTTCGGCCGCTTGACCATTACCACTGTCCTCCCAGTTACCTCTGGGTAGGGGGGAAATGCAGACGTACGTGGTGAGCAGATGGGCAGGCAGGTGGGGTGACTCGGCACAACCACTCCCAAGGGAGTGCTTGTCAGGTGGGACTTCAGATAAAAAAACACAGATTGACACATTTTGCTGATTGATGCAAATAAACTCTTTAAATACATGGCAATGTTGAGCATTCCAAGGGTACTGTGGGGCCCTCAAGTATCAAAAGTGGCAGCCAAGTAAGATGCAGACTTTCTAAGAAGGAACTTAACAATCACACTGAAGCATTTACATTTTGACTATTTGAATAAAAAATTCCACTCTTAGGAATTTCCAAAGGAAATCAGAGTTATGCAAAGCATTACATGGTGGGTCTATGTCCCGCTGTGGCATCACCTCAGGAGCAGGCGTGGACACCTTCTCATCCACAGCACAGGATGGCAGCGGGGCACCTGGGGCATCTGTGGCTCTAAAGTAGGACGCTTTTCATGACACAGAACGGCATTTATGGAAAATGTATGTTGTGGTTTTGATTATAGCAAAAGGAAAATAAAAGATGGGGTGAGAAGAATCCAGTAACTTTTTTTTTAATATCAGACTTCTCTTTCATGACTTCCTCCCAATCAACTGCTCACCAGGGTTATTACAGCACAATAAAAACAGATGGGGAGGTGAAAGAAAAAGACAAAGCCTGGCCTCTCTGACCACCACGGCTCCCCCTCCCACCCAGGAAGGAGCCCCAGGACATCTGCAGACACAGGGCCCGGCTGAGTGCTGCATCTCCCTTCCAACCTCCCTGACCCAGGTGCAGAAGGCCCACCGGCCGGAGGTCCTGCCCGCCAGCACCGCCAGGCTTTTCAAGGGAAGTGGCTGCTGGACCACGTCCTGGGAGAGTCAGAACACCAGCAGTCACAGGCAGGGGAGACCACGGCTGCATTCGACTGCCCTTAACCAGCTGAGGGTTTGTGCTTTTGTTCATTTGCTTAAAAAGCAGGTGTTTGTGCTTTAAGTAAAAATCTAATTCTCAACATCCTGACCCCCACTGCCTTTGCAGAGCCTCCTGAGGCAATGTGGGCCAGAGTGACACTTCCAATCAGGTCCCCTGGGCTACTAGGCCCTGCTCACTGGCCCCAGTCACAGGCTCTGGGGACCCCTGCCCTATGGCAGGCGCAAGTGGACTGTGTCCCTTGATGGCAAATACGGTGATTATGAAGTCAAGGTGGAAAGTGCTGACAGCGCAGCCTTTGATCTAAGTCTGCCCACTGAGGAGGCCCCTGAAGTTCCCTGGGGCCTGCACTGCACTCCCGGTTGGCTCCTTGACCCTGACTGATGAGGACAAGGTGGGGAGAGGTGGGCTGAGCACAGCTCCCAGGGAGGCTCTGGGGCCACAGGAGACTGCTCTCCAGGGTGCCAGCAGGTGAGCAGCACCTACTTTGCCCCCAGACAGAGCCACACACCAGCGTCATGCCAGGAGGGCAGAGGGAAGGACAGTCTGGCCTTCAGAGCACCACCTGTACTTTCTAAGGCACAGGAACATGGGAGAGGCTCGACCCAAAGTGGCCCAGTGCCACAGCAGGCACCGTGCATGTGGCACAGGCCACAGAGACGAGCCAGAACTTCGTACACACACCGACCCCTCTCTCCCAGTCGGAATGCCGTAAGAGCGGCTGCAAGTTCCAAACTGTTCAGAAGGCACTGTGCACCTCCACTGCCTGCCCAGCCCAGAACCCAGGATGGTATGTGAGATGCCCAGGCTAGCAAGAGCCCCATGTCCTTGCACACCTCTTCCAGGCCCCAGGTACCGCAGATGCTGGCACGAGTGCTGGGAGAAGCTTGGTAGAGGGTTCCAGAGAAGGCCTCAGGGAAGGGGGAGGGGCAGTCTGCCTATGCCCTTCCTTCTCCCAAGCTCAGCCCAGGAGACACACAGAGAGGAAGAGAGAGGCCTGACCCTGACCCAGCCTCCAGCAAACCCAGTGAGGGCGCCACACCCAACACTGGTCTTCTCCCCACGCCCTCAGGCTCAAAGAAGGGTGGAATGTGGTTCTGAGGAAAGGAGAGGGGGCATTTGCAACTACTGCACACAGAGTCTGGGCACCTCTGGAGAGGTACGGGGCCCTTGGGCAGGTGGGAACATTGCTTCCTTGTGTCTAAAGCACCCTGCCCAGCGCCTAGACTTGGGGAGCACACAGCAGGGGTGCCTTAGTGCAGACTTGCCAGCAGACGCACAAAGCCAAGATTACAATGGCTTCTGAGGGAATGCTCATTAAAAGACAGTCTCCCCAGTGCCAGAGAGCAAAGAAAGGGGAGGTGGGGAGGAGGAAACCAGGAAGGCATCGACTAGTAACCTGCCTGGGCAGAGCCCATTCCCTGAGATGGGGGTCTGCTGAAGGCCCTGGAAATACCGTCCTCCCGAGAGGCCCACGTACTGCTGAGCTCAGCAACTTGCAGGCCCAGGGCGGGCAGTAAGGCGCCTCGTGAGGGGCTGGCAGCTTCCACCCAGGCTTTACTCTGAGCCCCAGGCCTCTCTCCTGGTCCACCGTACCTCCCTGCTGCCAGGGCTGAGGGGCTTCCTGAGCTGGTGGACAAACTCTTGACAAGGGAGGCCAGAGGCTCCTCACCCTAGTGATTCAAAAAGAACCTCAGCCTCAGGAGATGGGGCTGCAGGAAGAGCGTTCTAGGGCTGAGGCGCCTCTGTTACTAGCTCGCCCCTTTCAAAGGCTCCGCATTTCAGCAGCCCCCAGAGTAGGTTTTGCACACTTCTGCTCCACCACTCACCCCACAACTCTTGCAGGCAGGGAGGCGCCCTCCTGGGTCTGGTGGGTCCTGCACTGTCCAGTGCCAAGGGCTGACAGCACTGGTGGGTAGGTAGCTGCAGGTGCTCCAGTTCTGTCAGCACAGAGTAGCCCAAGTACTGGGCAGGAAGCAAAGTTTCCAGGGTCCTGGACAAGCAGCAGTATCACTTCTTGGGCTGGGAGCTGCTGCACAGGAGTAGGGGTGGGGACAGCCAAGGCAAAGTGGGAAGACCCCTACCTTAGTTCTAGGACCCCAATTTCCTGGAAGACTGCAGCATTAAGAGGGACAAAAATGCCATGGAGCACATTCAGCTTTGGGCCACCAAAACCTGGCCTGCATCCCCCAAAACAAGGACCCTATATTTCTTATCCCCAAAGGGAGATAATGCACACAGCTCTAATGGGGTGCACAAGCTCCCCCAATCCCAGCCAAGGCGCACTCCTAAGGCAAGTTTGTAAGATAAACAAAGGCAGACAGGAAGTCCTGGCTCCAATCCCTCACCAGTCTATACCAGTCTAGCCCTCCTGGGGGGCGGCTCCCCAGGACATCAAGGAATGCCAGAGGCCAGCTTCAACCTCCCTGCTGGTCACACAGTGCTTCCCAGGACAGCCATGGCCTCCCCAACCAGGCCAGCAGTGTGACCCCAACCTCTACTAACGCAGGGGGTTCCAGGGAAGGTACCCAGCTGTACAGGTGCCCACTGAGTGGGTCGGTGGCCCCCAACCTGGGTGTTGAACCTCTTGTGTGCCTCCTCAGAGCCAGCTTGCACCTGATTCTGGCTCACCTCAGCGTAGAGGAGGTCCAGCCTCCTCCCCAGTGGTCCAGGTCACACTCGGGCCTTTGTTCTACCTGCAGAACGAACCCCTGTTGGCAGAGTGAACCCCTGTCCCCAGATTCTCTTCCCAGGCCCCTCAAGGCCGGCGACTGGACCCGGGCCCCCACTGGCGCGGGAGGGGAGGCACCCCGTTTCTCTCCGTTGTGCTTCGAGTAGGACAGCCGAACAGGGGAACGCTCACTGCAGGTGGGCGACGCACGCGCGGGAACCTGCTTTCCCGCCCGACCCCCAAGTCAGCCAGAGACTCACAGCCGGCGAGGGCAGGATTCGACGCGCCGGGCAGATGAGGGGGCCCACCGGTGGCAAGTCGGGGAGCCCAGGCTCCGTACGGCCTGGCGGGGGCGGTAAAGTCGAGGCGAAGGGAGCGCGTCCGCAGCCGGGCACCCTCCGGCCGGTCGGGAAGGGGAGCAGAGGGGCGGCGGCAAGGGGGGCACCGGCGGGCGCGCTGGCCGCGGGCCGGGGCGCCACTCACCTGGGCGTGCGCAGCGCGGCGGGGTCGCGGCGGTCCAGAACACCCGGCACGCAGTTGGTGAGCTCGGTCCAGTCGGCGTGTAGCCCGCAGCTCCAGCCGGTGGAGAAGCGGGAGAAGAGCCAGGTCTCGCGGCGGTTGGGCCGGTAGCAGGTGCACTTCTTCTGGCCCGGCCGGCAGTCGCAGGGCACCTCGAGGCGCACGTTCTGCACCAGGTGGCGGCCGAAGGTGGTGCCGCCCGTCTTCTGGATGTGCAGGAAGACGATCACGTCGTCGCCCTTCATGTCGAAGCGCAGCGAGCGCTCCAGCTCGCGCACCGGGAAGTAGTACTTCTTCTCGTAGTGCGGGTCGGGCGTGGGGAACAGGTCCAGGTCGTCGGGGGGCGCGCGGCCGCCGGGCGCGCCCAGGCTCAGCCCCGGGCCCGCGTACTGGTACAGGATGAGCATGAAGCACGCCGAGCCCGCCACCACCAGCACGAACTTGCTGGCGCGCTCAACCATGGTCCTGCCGCCGGCGCGCCGCCGCCGCATGTGTCACCATCGCCGGC